GCTTGGCGCCTACGAAGAGGAATCTCCAAGTACACGGCGCCGTTGTCCATCTGTGAGGCAACACATCGCGCTTGGCGCCTTGTGGTGCTAGCCATGGCCCAATGCCGATCCAAGTCGAGCCAGCAGTACTGCGTAAACATCCACGGCAGCATGCACGGGTTCATGTCGCGAAGGCCTTGCACAAACCGAGTCAGAGGCACGCTGGCGTCCATGAGCTGGCGCCGGGGAGCGTGTGCACTCCAGGCAATAGAAGCCACCGAGCCGTTGTAGAGCTGCGAGATGTCTGCAAGCGCGGTGCTGGTCAAGTCGAGCGTCGTGTTGGTTGAGATGAGGAGGTGCTGGTTGATGGCATTGGCCAAGAAGGCGTGCATGCCGGTGCTGTTGAAGCCCGCCCAGCCAAAGTCGTTGGCCAAAAACGTCTGTGCGACCGTGAGAAAGGCGACGTTGGAAGTGAGGCTGAACATGGTGTACAGAATACCACAGAGCAGAATCATTTGCTTGACTCGTAGTTGCAGAAATGAGTACGTCGTCGACGACGGTGCCATGTTGGACAGCCGATGCAGGTCTTCCCGAACCACGCTGATCTTGGGACCTGGCGTCGACGGCAGCCCAAGCAGTGACACGGGCACCGTATTCGTCTGGACAAAGACCCAGAGCTTGGTGTCAAAGAGAATGCCACGGCGTGGAAAGTGGAGGACGCCGACCATGGCCGCGGTCACGACGTTGACGTGGGCCTGCTCCTTTCGGCCCAAAAAAGCAATCGCTGCCGAGTTGAGCAAGAGCGACGGCGTCTCAGCCACCTCCCCCAACGAGGTCCAACGTCGCGCTACGAGGTAGCTGCCACAAGCTGCAGCGACCAGCCCCGCGAGGTTGGCGTAGACACGGTCCAAGTGACCGATGACAATATGTCCACTCGTACAGTACAGCACGCGGTCCATGTTTTGAGATGTACAGCTACGCTCGAGAGTCACCGAGACGTGCACTGGCGCCGCGACGTCCAAAAGTAGGAGATAGAGCCACCCAGACACAAGGCTCCAGCGTGCGTAGCTGGAGGTATACGGAGCGGTCAGCGGATGAAAAGCCTCGTGGAGCACGTAGAGAATCCACGTCGCTTCGCTCGACAAGAGGCACGAGGCGACCAGTGATCGTTGCCGTCTCGGCGCAAACTGCGAGCCGAATGCTGTCGCCTCGGACTGCGGAACGGCCGACGACAAACAGAGCAGCGCAGCGCCGCCGCGGGCCATCAAGAGCCCTCGATTGAGCCACGTCGCGCTCACAACGTGGCTCCATTGCAGCCACGGCGTGTGCGATGGTCGGTAATAGCACATCCAGAGGCATACCAGCAACATCGCTAGGCTCACCAAGACCACTGTCACCGCCACACAACAGTACCAGAGATACGTGCCAAAGCTCGAGCGGAGAGCATACGGAGGCAAGGCCTTGTGTGTCGCAGCCGATGTCATGAGTGTACACGACGCGACGTCGCCTTCAAAGGTGACGACCTCGCGAGTGTGCATGACCCACTCGTAGACGCTCACCCAGCCGAAGAAAGCAAACGAGGGATCGAGCAGAAGCTGCGTCTCGACGACCGGCGGCGATGCATTCCGGCCGACAAACTGCATGAGCTGTAGCGGCGGAAGCGACGACGTCGGTAAACGAAGCTCTGAGAGAGATGGCACAAGCGTTGCGGCGGCCTGGATAGTGTGCAGTGCCGTGGCGCAACCATGTATCTCGGCGGCAGGCATAAGCGCGCAGATGGAAGCGGTGGCGTTGGCGTCACCGAGCATCGTCCAGGCAAAGAGACTAGCGAGCGGCGACAAGGTGTACGTCAGCGCCTTCTGCGTGCCACACGAATCGTCAAAGCCAAACGACTCTTGGACGAAGGCGAGGCCGACACCAAAGCCACACGTGGGGTTGCCGCCGTAGAAGAGGAGAGTCGGATCGTGCCACTTGAGCGGCGTCGGGTGAAGCTCTACCGTGCCGATCGCATCGAGCGCCGGCGCCATTGCTGCGTCGGACGCGAGACGCGCCAACAAAAGTGACCGAAAGGTCTGCACTATCGAGAGCACTGCGCCCGGCACGGGCACCCAGAGCACATCTATGTTGTCGAGCGGCCCAATGTCGTTGTGCACGGCTTGGAAAGCGGCGGGCAGTGGCCAGCACACGAGGACAGCTTCGAGAAGACCCGGGCTCACGTCACCAACAAAGGTGCTAGAGTTCTGCACGAGGCTTTGGTTGCCGCTGGGGATATTGAGGTCCGTCTGAAGCCCACCGTACATGTAGTTGGTGGTCCATCGGACGCCGCGGCTCGCAACCGGAATGTCTTTGATCTTGAATGCAATGACTTGGCCGAGTGCGCTCTCAATTCGAACGACGTCGTACAGACCGATCTGGTAGGCGTTGGTGTACTGCATCACAAAGTGAGCCAGACCAGCGTTTGACCAGATGTGGACTTCGCTGTCCAGATCCAGAATCTGGTGCGTCGTGAGGTACTTCAGAAAGCCGGGGCCATCGTCCGACGACTCGGTGACGCCGTTTCCGATGCGTTGCGTAAACAAGCCTTGCGTGACATCGACCCACGCGTTGAAGTCAATATTGCGCAGAACGGACTCGAGGTACACGGCACCATTTGTCGCGTAGCGGTCGCGACAGCGCTCTTGGCGTGCGACCGTGTGGGCCATGGCCCAGCGTCGGTCCCAGTCGACCCAGCAGTACTGCGCGCCCATCGTCGCCACGCGGAGCAGGTGCAGATTTCGCAATCCCGCCACTGCATCGTGGAGGGTCGTGAGCGCTTCGTAGCGCAGAAAGCGCGTGTACGCGTCGCTGATACCGACAGCGTCGTGCTTGGAGAGACCGGACGATGGCGCGAAGAGGTCCAAGGTCGTTCTGTTGGTCACATGCGGCAGCTGGAGGTTGATCACATTCGTTAACGCGAGCGCCGTCGAGCCAAACTGGAACCAGATAAAGTCGTTGGCGAGGTAGTCGGCCATGGCGAAGAGCCCGCCGATCGTGGCTGCTGTCGAAATGAGCACATACAGGAGGCCTGCCACCGTGCTCCATTGCGCACCGTGCTTCTGGCGACGTCCTGCAACGAGTGGTGCGGCGCCCGCGTCGCCAGGTCCGAGGGCCGTGGGCGCGACACGGGGCATCTCGTGTCGACGTTGGCCGAACTTTCTGTAGCTCGAAACGCCCGTGGGTTTCACGCACGTCAAACTATACTATCAATACAACCGCTCTTTGCGCCACGCAGTCGAGTTCATGGTGGGTGTAGGATCTGGTAGCACGCAGCTCTTGTGTGTAAGCTGCGGTGGCAGCCGAAGCGGCTCTGTTTCAATGCAGCACTCGTCAAGTGCCGGTATTAAACACTGCCAAAGCTATGGTGCGATGACTGCAGTATAAAAGACTTTCGGTCGTCCCGTCGTACCACGGGTGTTTTTCTAGAGTCGAGCGTCGAGCGTCGCAGCACTTGACGCGACTGCCTCGGCGTGTTCGCTGCCCCCGAGTGCGATGCGATGTGATTCCTGAGGGATGTTTTATGTACATCTTGCAGGGGTTTGCTGCGTAGCGATGTGATACATGACCTTGCGCGCACCAACGAGGTGTCGAGTCGGTGGGTCCATTGAGTCGCGTCAAGTCGACAAAATCGGCGATGCCTTCGGATTCAAATTCCATTTTGAGTTTCGAGTTTGCGCGTTTACGACGACTATTACTCGGCACCAATGCATTGGAGCGGGATCGCGTGTCGAAAGCGCTTTGGCTGGTTCGGGTCGAGCGAAACCAGCGGGCGCACAATGTGCACGCGCCACGCTTTGATGTCAAGGATGAGCATCGAGCCGCGCCAATTGACGCTGACGAGGCCGGCCATGACGGCCGAGGTCCGGTCCAGATAGTAGTCGCCGTCGTAAATCCACCGGTCAAATGTTAAGAGGTAGACGCTCTGCGCACTTAGAAGCAGCGATGGCACTGCGACATCGGGCAAGCGCGGCTGCCAGAGACGGTCGGCGCCATAACAGACCAAGATCGAGCTACAGCAGATCGCAATGACCTTCCAGAAGCGAACACCGTTGCCAATTTCGATGTAGCCGCTGTTACAGCGCAGTGCAGAGTCCATCTCGATCGCGATACAGCGCCGCGTCATTTCAGCCGCGTGGACGTGGGGCTGAAGAAAGGTATAGGTAGCAACGGCGGCCCACGTGAGAAGCGTGCTCTTGTACGCATACACGGTCGTATATTGCCGCGTGACGCAGCTAAAAAGGTCGTTGAGGACGTAGACAAGCCACGTGGCTTCGGATGCCGCCACGATCGTGTTGTGCCACGGCAGCGGCGGTGTGGCCATGCGCGTGACGCCGCCGCGCTCTTCCAAGTAGAGAGGACTCGTGTTGAGCAGCATGATGGCGGTGATCCCACGCAGCAGCAGAAACGGACGGCCGATCCAGACAATGCCGACGATCCGGTTCACTTCCAATAGGTTCAAGCCTTCAATGCGGCCTTGACAGCGAATCGCATACAATACGAGGAGCAAGGCGACTGCTGTCATCGAACACGTGATGCCAATGAGGCAGTCGCGAAACACGAGCGAGAGGTATGTCGGGAGAACGCGCGGGTCTGGCGACAAGTGCGTCGGGTTTGCCCGCGCCGAGATGGTCGATATCGTACTGACATCCCCTTGGAAAGACACGACTTCGCGGGCACCCGTGACCCATTCGTACAGAAAGCACCAGCCGTAAAATCGCCACGGTACATCGTCCATGTCCAAGAGGTTGATGCGGTAGAGCTCGAGAGGTGTTGTCGCGCTCATATTGCGGTAGAGATACTGGATCATCTCAATGTTCATGGACCGCACGGTCGTCTGTGTCTCGATCGCGAGCGAAGCGAAAACAGGTGGCGGTTGCACTTCGTCCATCAGAAAGGCCAAGAGCGTCTGGTAGTCATCCGCACAGCTCAGACCTCGGTACGCGTCCAGGGTGCAAATGCTCTCGACATTAACGACATCGCTATCGCTGTAACTTGTGCTCGTATGCCCAAAGAGGCTAAAGAGGAGCCCGATCGTGCCAGGATGCATGTAGTCGAGAAAGACCGCATGGCAGAGGTTGTCGACTGAGAAGGCCAAGTCGATGCCGTTGCGGGCGCTAAACGGTGGCAAGTCGTCACCGCAGAGAAGGTTGCCGCCAACTAACATCGTGTCGGGACCTGACAGCAGCCACGAAGAGGCCTCGGCGATCGCGGGTCGGACGGGCAGTTTGAAGAATGCGTTCGTGTTGGTTTGCGGCAATTGCATATACTGCGAGAGGAGCGCCGTGAACAACTCGTAGAGTCTACGCAATGGCGCCGGCGGCAGCACGTACACCATATCGACCGCGCCAAACGGTCCGAGTGAGGCCGCGAGCATCGCGAGGCCCGGCGAGAGCGGCGCCGCAAGCGTGAGATTCTCTAAGAGCAACGACTCGGGCGTCGTTGCATTGGCAAAGGCAAACTGAGCGCTGCTTCGAACCAAGCTACGACCACCAATGCACGTCTTATTGGAGGCAATGGCCCAGAGGTCCGCGGCGAACGACCAGTACATGCGCAACGACGTTTGCTGGTCTCTTCGGAAGACGCCAGCGATCGCGCTCAGCGGGAGGGTGTACCCTAACCCTAATGCCGTCCAGATCGTCAGTGCGTCGTCGAATCCCAGCGCTTTGTAGTTTTGCCACTGCAGTTCAAACGTAGCAATGCCACCGTGTGCTGCCCAGTGCGTCGCTTCGTCGTCGACCGAGAGCGTGTACGGCTGCAGCGTCGACGAAAGCCACCGTTGTCCATTTTGCGATGTTGCAAGAAAATCGCCAAACCCAATTGCAAACGAGCTGCCCCAACAGGCGTCCCAAGCGTCAACGTCGCGAAGATTGCGGAGGCCAGTCTCGAGGTACCGCGCGCCGTTGGTGGAGTGGACGCCGCAGCGGGCTTGGCGCGCGGCGGTCGACGCCATCGACCACGTTTGACCCAGATCGAGCCAGCAGTATTGCGTAAACATCCACGGTAACTTGCACGGGTCCATGTGGCGGAGGTTGGCGATAGCATCGTTGATGGCCGTGTGACGGAAGAGTTCTCGGCGCGGCGCCGTCGGGGCGCACTCAGCAGTGCCGACGACGCGTTGTACGTCTGCGTGAGGTCGCCGAGCGATGCATTGTCGAGCTGGAAACGCATGAACGACGTCGTGAGCAAGTGGGTGTTGAAGAGGTTACCAAGGAACGGGTAGGTGCGAGCTGTGCTAAACCCACGCCACCCAAAGTCGTTGGCAAACGTCTCGTCCGCGACATCGAGGTAGAGCGCGTTGTTACAAAGCGTCAATGCGAGGTAGGCAAAACCAAGCACGAGGTTCAGCGTCGAGTACTTGCAGCACATCGGAAGCGACTCGCGCTTGCTGGATAGTATGCACGACCCGAGGCTCGGCCCGCGCTGCAGCTGGGTGCTCTCAAAGAACCGCCATAGTTTGATGTCAAAGACGCGTCGTTGGCCGCAAACGCTGAAGAGGCCACACATGGCCCCTGTCACGACGTTCTGGAGCGTCAAGTCGATCGCTGAGGCGTCTTCTGACCAAAGAAACGCCGCGGCCATCGTGGGCAAGAGTGCCGTGCCGGTGCTCGGGGTGCATGCCGCATGGCGGCGGCGGTTCGCCCGCGCCAAGAGCACACAGAGGACAAGAAGAGCGAGGTGGGCCACCAAGAGGCTCGTAAAGCGCGCGTAGGAGCCAATCGCGAGGCGCGCGCTTTGACAGTGGATGACGTACCCAAAGCTAACATGGCTGCAGCTGCGCTGGATTCGAATGGCAACGTCATCCAGTGGTGCGAAGAAGTCATAGCTCATCGTGAGTAGCCACGCGAGGCTGATGCTGATTGGTGCGTACGTGCGCGTGTACGCCTGCGTCATCGGGTGCGCAAGTTCATGGAGCACGTAGAGCGTCCACGTGACCTCGCTTGCGAGCACAGCCGACACGAGGAGCGACCGCGGCGCATGCGAGAGCGACGATGTGACGTCATCGTGAGACGGGACGAGCGGTGTTGTCGCAAGGCAGAGCACGGCCGTGAGGCCACGCACGACGAGCAGCGACTTCGAGAGCCACACACTCGCTACAATGCGATGAAAGTACCACCACGAACAGTGAAGCGGGCGGTGCTGCGCCCAGAGCAGAATCAGCACAAGTGACACGACCGTCAAGACGACCGAAATGTAGACGGCCACCGACCAGAGATAGACGCCGACGTTGCCCAGGTCGCTAGCCGGCGGGCGAGACAGTAGCGTGTACGTGGACGAGATCAACGCCATGTCGTCCACGTCGCCTTCAAACAAGACGACCTCCCGGTCCCCAAGCGCCCAATCATATAGCGCCATCCATCCGGCAACGGCAAAGTCGGGAGTCAAAATCGGCAGCGTCTCGAGCCATACCTTTTTGTCGGCCGACACGAATTGGAACAGCGAAATGTTGAGATCTTCGATCACCGTTGTTGGTGCCACGATCGCGAAGCCTGGTATCGCTGTGATCGCTGCCGTCGTTGAGGCCATTCGCGCCTCGCACGCGTAGACGTCGGGTCCGTTGCAGAGGTCGCAGAGCGAGGTACGACTGGTATTCCGTAGCATGACTGCTGCAAAGAGACTTGATAAGGGCGTCCAGTGCAGAGTCAGCGGCTTTTGCGTGCCGCAGCCGTCGTCAAAACCAAAGCTCTCTTGTACAAACGGGACGGGCGCGCCGTGCCCACAGAGCGGACTACCTCCCAAGAAGCGAAGCGAATCGTTGCGCCACGCCGTCGGCGTCGGGTGCAGCATCGAACCACTGCCCATTGCGAGAAAGGCCGTGCGAAACACCGCATTGGCCGCCAGGTTGGCTCCAATCGAGGATCGAAACAACTCGACGGACGCGAGAAGCGCCAGTGGCGGCGGTACCCACGTCATGTCGATCGACCCGAGGGGCCCAATCTGAGAGTGTACGGCGCTCTGCGCGGGGCTCAGTGGTGTCCCCACTACGTAGTATTGAATGTACGCAGCGTCACTGCGAAAGTTGGACGTGTTGCGAACAAGGCTGCCGTTGGCGCCAACGGCTTCAAAGTCGTACAAGAGACCGCCGTAGAGGTAGATGGACGAGCCAAACGACCCGCGCTCGACGAGCGGCACGGCCTTGAGGAGCGTTGCGTGGCGCTGACCCAGCGCGTTGGTCACATCGATCGTCTCTTGGAGACCGACTTGCACGTTATTGGCGTACGCGAGAGTGAAATGATGCAGACCCTTTGCATGCCAGAGGATGCTTTCGTCGGCTTGCGGCAGCCATGTGTGGGACGCGATCGTTGAGACCCACGCGGCTCCATGCAGCGAGGATGCGATCATGGGCCTCGCGATCGACGCCTCGTAGTAGTCGCCGTGGATGGCGTGCCACGCGTCAAAGGGAATGTTGCGAAGGACGCTCTCGAGGTACGTGGCCGCATTCGCTTGGTACCTCGCACTGCATCGCGCGGCGCGCTGGCTCGAGTGCGCGACGCTCCAATTTCGATGCCAGTCGACCCAGCAGTACTGGGACACGAGCGACGTGACGTGCGACGGCGGCATGGTGCGCAGCCCTTGAATCGCGTAGTCCGGCGACGTGAGCTCGTGGTACAAGAGCTGACGCGCATACGTGTGGGGCGACCCCGACGCATCCGACGAGAGCACGACCGTTAAGGACGTCAGGTCTGTTGATGGAAGGGACGCACGGAGTCGTAGCTGCCCGTTGACAACGTCGGTGAGCGTACTGGATGTGTTGCGCTGCGTGTAGTCGGGCCAGAAGTTGTCGTTTTGGGTGTATGATGAGAGGAGGGCGAGCCCGTAGACGCCGAGGAGAACCGAAGACAGGACGTAGAGAATGCCGCCATACTCGACAAGGTACGCCCACTTGGATGGCCGCGGCGGCGCGGCTTGCGACCACGCGCTGCTGACCTTGGTCATTGGTCGCGAACCAGCTCCGGAAGGATATTATGGTTTCATCAGCGCCAACGCCTCTTGACTTATCAAGGCCATTTGTCTTGCTAGACCACTTGGCTCTGAAGAAAGAGGCAACATACGGGTCTGCCGCAAAGCCTTGCATGCCGGTTGAACTGCTCTTGGGTGTTGATAGCTTGAAAGAAACAATATTGTCATGGCACACAAGCGTGTGGACAAGTCGACAATCAAGTCAAGTACACCTCTGTTGGCGAGGCGCTAGCTCAGGACAAGAGTTCATATTGGCCCTTGTGACAGCTCTCGTTAAATGCCTCATAATACCCGGCATGATCCCAAGGCTTTGGTGTTTGGCGCCAAATGTTTAAAAGTGGCATATGCCAAAATAACGACGGTGTTGAATATGGTAGATGTGGCATGGACCAAAGATTTTTTGGCGGGGCGGCGCAGGGCGATGGCGAACCAGCGGTCGGAGGACGACGAGATGACGGGGGCGATGGCGAGCGACGAGATGGCGTACGACGACGACAAGGAAGGTCGATTGGACGAAGACGATGAGGGGACTGCCGAGAAAGAGACCAAGTACGACGAGGAGATGTCGACGCAGACCGAGGACGCCGAGACGACCGCAGCAGCGGCAGAAGGCGGGGTACCGGTACATGGCCCTTTGGTTGCCATGAACCTGACTTCATCTTTGTGTAGAAGGAAGCTGAGAAGGGGCTGGCGAAGCCGCAGTCGGCGTATTTCCACTTCCTCGCGGCCAAGCGCCCGCAGGCCAAGGCCGAGAACCCCGGCGCGACGATTGGGACGATCCAGAAGGTCCTCGGGACCATGTGGAAGGAGCTGACGCCGGAAGACAAGGAGGTTCGCGCACACAAGGTCTCGTCGAAGGTGCTAACCTCTGTTCCGTCCTAGCCGTACGTGCAGCTGGCCCTCAAGGACAAGGAGCGCTACGCTGCGGCCAAGCAAGACATGATTGACCGCGGAATGGACGTGGCACCAGAAAAGCCGGCGGCGCCACCGGCAGAAGACGTCTTGATCCTGCCTCTCTGTACGCATAGCATGACATGAATCGAATTCTCATGCAACCCATGTAGCGCGGGTCAAGCGCATCATCTCCGCCGACCCGGACGTCGGCAAAGTCTCGAAGGATGCTCAAATTGCCATCGCCAAGGCCACCGTTCGCATCTGTATCAACTTCGTTGCGTCTCATGGTGGTCGTAGGAGCTCTTCATCCAGTTTCTCGCGGCGAAAGGGTACGATAGTGCGCTCATTTCCAAGCGCAAGACGATCAAGGACTCGGACCTGCTACAAGCCATTCACGCACTCGGGTGCTTGGACTGGCTGCGCGATGACTTTCCTCAATCGTCGTCGGCAACGACGAGCCGGTCGAATGAGCCCAAGGCCAAGCCGGTCGATGCACCGACGAGCGAGGCGTCGCGCATCACGTCGTTCTTCACGCGCTCCGAGTCGTAAGCAACCATGCATGCATAGTACTATGTTTGTCTTTACTACACTGTTCTTGTCTTCTGTCTCTATGGCATTCGCTGTCTTAAAAGACGGGCTGGTACTCCTCTTCTTCGTCGTCTTCGACCTCTTCCTCCACTACTTCTTCGACGACTTCTTCGTCCGTCTTGGGGATGAGACCGCGCTTGCCGGCAATCGTCGCAATCACGGCGCGCGGCGCCACGAGCGGCTCAATGTGCTCCGGGAACGTGATGTTTTCCAAATAGATACGCTCGCCGACGTGCATGCCGTTGACGTCCACGTCCAAGGTCGACGGAATCACGTCCGAGTTGACCTTGCAAGGAATGTCGTGGCGCACGTTGTTGATGTAGCCACCACGCTTGAGGCCCGGGCTGCCCTCCTGGTTCAAAAAGTCGAGCGGGATGTGCACCGTGCGCCCAGGCTTGAAGCGGAGAAAGTTGACCGTCAGCGGCACGTCGGTCACCGGGTGCAGCGTAATGTCGCGCAAGAGCACCTTGGTCGGCGCGCTCTCGCCGACCGACACCTCGTACACCTGGTTGGCCATCGACGAGCGCAGCTTGCGGTACTCGCGCTCAAAGTCCGTCTGGTCCATCGTCACGAGCACCTTGGTCTTCTCGCCGGTCGAGCCCTCGCCGTAAAGGATGCCGGGCAGCTGGCCGCCACGGCGCAGACGGCGCGACTCGCGCGAGCCGTCCTTCAAGCGCGGCTGCAGCTGGAGGAAGGTCAGGTGCGACGACGTCGACGCCTGGCGCGTCAAGGACGCCATGGGCCCGCGGGCGTGGACGCGCGACAAGAGCATCATTGTCTTCCTACTCCACGGCCAATGCTGTTTTGGAACAACTGGACAAAATGCATTGAGATTTTCGACGCGCTGATTGGCTATAATTCGGCTGATTTCGTTGCGCCACACACTATTTGCATCGACACAGTCGTGGCCGTTGCAGCATTACCATGGGGCCGCTGGACCGCAAGCCTACATTGTAGCGTGCTTCTATAGCTTGATGTTGCGTCGTCCATGCTGGAGGCTGCAGGTGGCTCTCGGCTTCCGTGTAGTTAGTATGAGCGTTGATCAAAACACGACAGGAAATAGTGTGCATTGAGCTAAGAGGACCAGAAGTGCAAAGCGTTGCAAAACCAAACGACGATGCTCGTGCATATAACTCGTATCCTAACAGTGCTTGCTGGGTATGGAGGGATTGCGATACGTCTCTCGACGCAGGACGTCGTGCAGTAGGGCAGCAGGTTTCGAGCGTGCGTCAATTGGAAAACACACTATTTTACGTGAAAGATCGCTGCGCTGCGATTGGGTAAAAAGGAAAAACCTTGGGCAAAACGAAGGGACTGCCCCAAAATTATCTACATTTTAAATCAGTTTGCATGTGTTCTCAATACAAATAGCAAATAAACGACACGTGAAAATGAGATTTAAAATATGGAATGTAGCCTAAAAAAGCATGCGGGTGTTGAGCTTTAAATAAATACCTTGCACGTTGTATGGTATGGAATAAAAAGTCGCGCCGCCTTTGGGGGGACTTGCTGCGTTGTATACGGCCTGCGCTCCACCACACTGATCATCTAATTGCCACAGGAAGAGCAAGATGCAACACTCGGTGCTGAACCCGGAATCCCAAGTCGAGAAGGTGCGAGGAGCATGGCGCTGCGTGGCGGAGGTTGACGCTCTGTATGTGTAGGGCGAGAACGCTCGCCTGGCCTCGTTCGTCGGCGCGATTGCGATCGCCGACATGGTCAAGACGACGCTCGGCCCCAAGGGCATGGACAAGATTCTGCAGTCCGTGGGCGGCCCCGACAAGTCCATCTCGGTCACGAACGATGGCGCGACGATCCTCAAGAGCGTCTACGTGGACAACGCGGCCGCCAAGGTCTTGGTCGACATTGCCAAGACGCAGGACGACGAAGTCGGCGATGGCACCACGAGGTGCGCTGACGACAATTTGTATGGCCATTGATGCTCATGCCCATGCTTGCATTAGTGTGGCTGTCCTCTGTGGCGAGCTCCTCCGCGAAGCCGAGAAGATGATTGAGCAGCGCATCCACCCGCAGACGATCATCGAAGGCTGGCGCATTGCCTTGAGCACGGCGCACCAGGCGTTGGAAGCGTCCGCGGCCGACCACTCGGGCAACCCCGAAAAGTTCCGCGAAGACCTCCTCAACATCGCCCGCACGACGCTCAGCTCCAAGCTCCTTACGGACTCGAAGGAATACTTTGGTACGATCGCAGTGGACGACGTCATGGCGCTCATAATCGATTAGCCGAGCTTGCCGTGAACGCGGTCCTTCGCTTGAAGGGCTCCAACAACTTGGACCACATTCAGATCATCAAGAAGCAGGGCGGCAGCTTGAAGGACTCGTACCTTGAAGAAGGCTTCATCCTGAACAAGCACATTGGTGTCGGCCAGCCCAAGCGCATTGAGAACGCCAAGATCCTCATCGCCAACACGGGCATGGACACGGACAAGATCAAGATCTACGGCGCGCGCGTCAAGGTCGACTCGATGGACAAGGTCGCGAGCATCGAAGAGGCCGAGAAGAAGCGCATGCGCGCCAAGTGCGAGAAGATCGCCAACTTTGGCATCAACTGCTTTATCAACCGCCAGCTCATCTACAACTACCCGGAGCAGGTGCGACGCAACCCTCTTCACGAAAACGTCTCATGCATCGCAAGTAGATCTTTACGGAGAAGGGCATCATGGCCATCGAGCACGCCGACTTTGACGGCATTGAGCGCTTGGCCGCGGTCACGGGCGGCGAGATCACGTCGACGTTCGACCACCCGGAGCTCGTCTCGCTCGGCGAGTGCAAGCTCATTGAGGAAGTCATGATTGGCGAAGACCGCGTGATTCGTTTCTCGGGCGTCAAGACGGGTCTTGCGTGCAGCGTCGTGCTTCGTGGCGCGAGCTCGCACCTCCTCGACGAGGCCGAGCGCTCGCTCCACGACGCGCTCGCGGTCCTTTCGCAGACGGTCAAGCACACGCGCGTTGTCATGGGCGGCGGCTGCACAGAGGTCCTCATGGCGCAGGCCATTGACGAGAAGGCGATCTCGATTCCCGGCAAGAAGTCGCTGGCGATGGAGGCGTTTGCGCGTGCGCTGCGCCAGATCCCGGCCATCATTGCCGACAACGGCGGCTACGACAGCTCGGAGCTCGTGACGCAGCTCCGCGCGGCGCACGTTGCCGGCGACCACCTCGCCGGCCTCGACATGCGGACCGGCAGCATTGGCAACATGGACACACTCGGCATCCGGGAAGCATACAAGAGCAAGATGCAGGTGCTCTTCTCGGCCGCCGAAGCCGCGGAAATGATCTTGCGCGTCGATGACATTATCAAGTGCGCGCCGCGCCAGCGCCAGGGCCAGTAAATGGCCAACGACACTATTAGGGTATATGGTAGGAGTGCTCTCGATCAATATTAACGACAACTCGAGAAGGCAGCGATACATTTTGTGACATGTCCATGGCTCCATGGACCGAGGAGCGTTTCCGTAGCTCCCATCGTTGAGTAGCTCCAGGGTTAGGGTATTTCCAAGGGTACAGGATTCAATAATTATATACCCTTGGACGATGTGACTTGCGCACTCGGAGGAGTCGGAGAATGCCATGCCTCTGAGGCTGCGTGGCTTGTATGCAACGAAGAGCTTCTATGACATGCATCAGTGGCTCGCCATTTTAGTTAGTCGCTTCCGACTCGACGGCAATTTGAACGTAAAAGCGCGCGGAAAGCCCGCGCGTGTTTTTATCCGGATATCGCCGGATAACCCAAAACCACACACTACCAACGTCGGGCAGCGAATTAAAATACGCGTTTTACCTTGTTGTTTGTATGCAAAAGGATAAAAGACGTCACCGTCCGTCCTATCGGCGACTCAACTCCATCATACTTGGTGTGCTGGGAACGACATCATCCCTGCAGCATGGCGACTTCGATCGAGCGCATCCTCGGCCGCAAGACAGAGCGCGGCCGCGTCCATTACCTCGTCCGCTGGGAAGGCCATGGCCCCGAGCATGACACGTGGTACGCGGAGCAGCGGCGAAGGACATGCAGCTTGACCATATCGGCGTAGGGAAAGCCGCATCGACCTGCGCGAGGACGGCCACTTTGAGCACATCCGCGTCTACGGTACCTGCATGCAATGCGCGCTATCGAAAGCACTCAGGACGATGTCTAGAGCGCATGATGAAGGATGCCAAGGAAACGAGCACGCCCAGCGAGGGCTCGGCCGAGGCGGAGAAGCAGCCCAAGGCGGAGGCCAAGCCCCGTGGCCGATCGCGTAGTACCAAGTCCAAGAGTCCGTCGCGCGCACGCAGCCGCAGCGTCTCCAAGAAGGATACCGTCACGTCGCCTCGCGGGCGCTCCAAGTCGCGTGGCAACTCGGTGCATCGCGAGCGCAAGAAGCGCACGCCGGTTGAGACACCAGTGGCCTCGGAGACCTCGGTAGCCCCCGAAGCATCGATGGTATTGGAAGAGTCCAAGCCCGTCGCGCCCGTCGTCGTCTCTACATTGCAGGAGGAGACGCCTGTGGAAGCGACGCCAGCTACGGTCCACGAGGTGCCCAAGGTCCAAGAGGTGGTCGAAAACATCTTTGCGGACGCACCAGTCGCCCGTGGTCTTCCTTCGCTGCGTACGTCGCTGCATCTCGTCGTTTGCTTATTGTCCCCGGCATGTAGATACCGCGACAGACTCTGCCAACGATGCAGACGACGAAAACGACATCTTCAACAAGGAAGCGGTCGCGCAGCAGATTCAAGCCATCTCGAGCGGCGAGTACGACAACCTCTCCAAGGTCATTGACGCGCTGCGGCAACGCGGCTGGCTGTACCGGTTCATTGGCTTCCTTGTCGTCTTTCTCGCGATGCTCGCCAACGTTCTCGTGCCCGAAATCGAAAAGAGTGCGTCGTCTATCTATCAACGTCGTATCCAGTGCTCATGTGGCCTAGACTTTGCCATCTCCGAGTCGTCGAACCTCGTGCTCTCGATCTTGACCAAGACCAACTCGCTCCCGCCGCTCATCTGCCTCGTGCTTGTGCTGCATGGCCGCAGCACCAAGTCGCTCTCCAAGTGGATCGCGATCTGCCTCGTGTGGCGCACGGCCGCCGAGGTCGTGACGCAGCTGCCCGACACCACGGTAGTTCGTCCCCTCCGTGCGGCTGCTGAGCGCAGTCGATAGGGCGTGTACGCGACCGTCGTTGCCATGTGCATTGCCGTCGCCGATCTCAGCGCGTTCCTCGCCACTTGCTCGTGCGTCGGCGGCCACTGCGAAGACATCTTTACCCAAACGCTTTGCGTCATGGGCTTCCTCCTCCTCCTCGCAGCCGACTGGTACACCCATCAATATGCAGTCGTACAGTCTTGCTCACGCGAATGGCACGGTAGCATATTCTTTCTCGAGCTCCTGCACGAGTCGAGTGCGCGCTTCCTCGTCATGGCCTTTGGCGCGATGATCCTCTCGTTCAGCTCTGTCCTCGCCGAAGCCGACGACGCATAAGATGTCGAGTAGAGAGTAGAGACGCGGTATATAATCATCTTAGGCAACACGTATCAGCGCAAACCGAGTCTGCTTACGCATTCGCCAGCGCCAGTGTCTGCAAAATCAGCGTGCGCACCGTCGTTCGGTTCACGTCACTCGGCAAGAGATTGTCGTCGTCGTCGCTCTCGGCCAGAAGCGCGTCGACGACCGCCGGCGTTGCCATCGCGTGCTTGGTCATCTTGGACCCATAGCGCCGCGCGACGGCATGGACCAAGAGCGTCTTCATGCGCGCTTCGATGGCCACGTCATTGGCGCGCGCGGCCACGTCGTCGGCCATTGCAGCCAGCTGCGCCGCATCGTGCGCAAGGACCGCGTGCCAGACGCGGGCGCGGCACTCGGTCAACGCGCTGGCGTCGTCGACCAGCGAGTCGACCACGTCGAGCGCCATGAGCACGCGTTGTTCCTTGTCGATGCCGTCGGCGCCCAGCGGCTCCAAGCACGACGCAATGAGCTCGTGCGGCGACATGGGCACGCTTGCGTCGCCCGCGCACATGAGTTCTTGAATGTGAATGCGCTCGAGCTAACACAAAACTATAAGCTCGTGTAGCCGATGCCAACGCTGCGTGATACCTCGTGGTTACTCGATGTACAGACGCTGCCGTCGTGAGCGTACGCAGCGAGCTTCCCGAGGCTCGCGAGCGTCTTCTTCGTGGCCAGCGACGTCGTCTCATCCTTGGCGTCGCGCAGCGCTTGCGCGGCCATTTCGTTGTACTGGCCGAGCTCGACCGCGACGATCCATGCGTGCTTGGAGAGTGTCGCATGGTTCTACACACAGACCGTGAGACGACGGCCACGCACGCGAGACGCACGTACGCGAAGGAACGTGTGCAGAGCCGGGAGGAGTTCGCGCGGCATGTGGAAGAGTGCCTCGAGGCGCTGGCCACGCTCGTCGTTGTCCCATGGGTTGGCGACTTCGCCGGCGTGCCACTGAAAGAGAAAGTGCGCGAACCGGGCGTTCGTGACACTCGACTCGGTCGCGCCGAGGTACGCCATGCCTTCGTAAAAGTCGAGCGCGCGGACCAGTGCCATCGTCGCCTCTGCGTGCTTGGCCACGTGCACGAGGGGCACGGCGACGCTTTGCTGCCACGCAGCCTTCTCGGTTGCATCGTCGTCCATGGCCGGCACGAGCGTCGTCGTCGCGAGATCGACGCATGCCAGCACGTCGGCCTCGTCGCTCGATTGTTCGAGGGCTGCTTGCAAGAGGCGACGCGCCGTGTCGCGCACCGCCGGCGCCACCGCCCACACGCTCTTGCTCAACGCGTGCTGGGCCACGTACGTGTGCGCCGCGTCGAGGAGGCGCGTCAGCAAGCGCAGACGGTCCACGACGTACTCGTCGTCCGCGAACAGGTGCACAAAGAGGTCGTCAAAGAGGGTCAGGTCGCAGTAAAACATGTCGAACGCCGAGTAGCCCGAGGCCGCGAGTTCTTCCGGCGTGTACCCGCGCGACTGCACCGTGCGCTGCATGGCCTGGCGGAGCACCTCTTCGAGGCGCGGGTCGTCGCTCGTTTGCATGGCACAGAGCGTCATGGCGACATGAAGCTTGGTGTCGTGCGCGTCGAGCTCGGCGCGCACGTGGGGCGGCAGGGACGAGGCCAGTTCGTCCGGGTGCGTCGCCAGAAACGACGTGAAGGCAGCGTGACGCGTCGCCTTTTCTTGGAGCTGGTACTTGACGAGCTGCGGCGTGAGCACATGGGCGTCCTGGCCCCAGCGGAGGCCCGTCGACGGTTTGGCGTCCAAAATGTCGCTGTCGAGCGCCAGAACCGCGCGATGGAACGCCTGGCGGCTCTGATCGCTCTTGGCGACGAGCTCCAAGTGGCATGACGATTGCTGAAACTGCTCGAGGAGCACCGTGCACCACTCGTCGACGTTCGAGCTTGAAAAGAGCTGCCGCGGGTCCGTCTTGAGCCGCTTGGGCGGCGGTGCGTTGGATGTCAACGGCAGCTGCCAGTTGTAGTTGGTCACGCGGCCCAGCGTCCCGTCGAGGACGTCGCCATCGCTTTCAGCGCCGAGCTCGAGGTACACAATCGACTTGGTGTCGCGCACGCGCAACCCGCCAGCGCCCACCCAGCTCGCGGTCGGAATCGGCAGCAGCTCGAGCGACATCTCGCCCACACTTGGGATCGAGACCGCGTAGACCACATGGGGCGTCACGACGTAGATGCTGCTGGCATCGACCACGTGGCACGAGATACAGTCCATCGCGTTGCTCTCCGGCGTGCCGAGGCGGAGGCAACGGAGGAACTGCGGCGTCTCGGCGAGCGTCGCGGTGAATTCGAAGAGGTAGAGCACGACGCTGGACGCGGCCTGGAAGCCAATGAGCATCGTAAACGACCTCGGCGTCGCGATCGGCATGTCGAGGCAGCGCGCATACCCGAGGACTTCATGCTCGTGCTGGGCAAAGTAGTTGTACATGAACGACGCCATCTCAAAGCGCCACTGGTCTTCGAGGCCGCTCGGCGTCATTGCGAGCCGCTCCAGCGTCGAGTCGACATGCAGCACCAACATCTCGGACGACGACGGCAGCGCCTTTGTGAGCAAGATCGGCGACGGCGTCTTGGACGAGAAGAGCCGAAAGATACCGGAGAAGACACCGCCGTTCGCGTGCGACGCCAGCGTTCGGGCGTGCACGCGGCCATCTTCGAGCGTCACTTGGTAGATGCGGCCCGACGACGTCGCGCCATAGAGCGGGAACGAGCGGCCCGAGACGTGCACGAGATGCTCACCGTCTTGCAGTGCCATGCGCGTGTACGTCGGCGGCGTCGAGGACTGGATGTCGTGCCACGTGACGATCGACCCGTCGGCCGTGAAGAGCGTCGCTGTAATGGCGACCTTGGACGCGCTGTATTCGGTCGCATGCGTCGAGACGATCGTGCGCGCGTGCTGCGTCGCAAACGCGCCAAGGTCGCGCGGGTACTCGAGGTAGATGGTTTCCGGCAGCGACAGTGCGCGGTTCAGCGCGTGCGAGTTCCACACGATGAGGCGGTCGGCGCAGACAAAGGTGTAGAGGCCAATGACGTGCTCCATCCACGGAAAGCTGGCAAAGGCCACGGGCACGTGCTTCTGCTGCACGAGCTGCCGCAGGCTCGGGGCGCTTGGCGCGTTGGACGCGTCCGACCCGATCGTCTCGACGACCTCGTGCGTGTACACGCCGTTCTCAAAGATGGTGGCCGCGGGCTGGAGGTCCATCGAGTTCTTCCGGTGCAGCTTTCGCGGCGAGAGGACCGCGGTTCCGCGCCGCTCGAACGAGTCGGACAAGGAGCGGCCCATCTTCTCGTAGCCCTTGGAGGACGAGGACGAGGGTACATGGATCGAGCTCTTCCGCGTCGCATGGGCGGCCGGCGCTGGCTGCGATGGTTGGCGGCGCCCAAACATCCCACGATTTTGGTAATATATATTGCCCACGATCGGAATCGCTTTTTATTTTATCAGGCTCGTACGCCATACAAACGCCAAGCTATGCGTTCTCTTGGATGTGATTTTTTAAATACTGTCCACCAATCAGCGTCTGCGGTTTGCATCGAACCGGTTCCATAACCGAACCGATAGCCATTTCACACTATTTAATGTTCTCCGCGAGTGCAATGTCCCAGCGTAGCGCTTAGCCCCGCGGCCTGCTTCAAGACGACAGCACTCAGCCATCAAGAGCACCACGCCCACGTATATGCCACATGCTTACTGACGCAGTCAACGCGCGCAACGAGCTCGCAGACGTCGGGACTTTTCTCATGACGTGGCAGCACGAGCGACGTCCGCGCCACGACGTTGGGCCAGCTCGCCCTGCCGCCGCCACGCTTACGAGGCTGCGTCGCAATAGCATGCGCATACACGCGTTCTTGTCTTGGTGCGTGATAAGTGCTCTCTTTGTGAGGCTATGGACGATCGTGACCGTGCGACGTAACTGCGCTGCAGTACACTATTTCAGAGTATCTCGGGCAGATCCGCAACGGCCACATGATGGGACCGCGCTGGTGGCCGCTCGTCGCGTCCTGGACGCTGTGCCTCCTCCTCTTATTGGAGCTTCCGCGGCCTGCGACGCCGACGCACCTCGACGTGGACGACCCGCAGAGCGTGGCGCTCGAGGACCTCACGGCCAAGTCGTCGCGCGTGCTGCACTGGGGCCAGCACGACTACCACCGCTTCGTCTTGCAGGCGTCGCGCCCATACGGTCTCGTCGTGCTCGTCACGGTGCATACGTGCGAAATGCCAACGAGGCCTCATGTATAGAGTAGGCGTCAGCGTCCACGTACAAGTGCGAAATGTGCCGGTGGCGTAGCTTGGTGCATCCCAGCACGTGGCTCATCCGGTCCTCGTAGGCCGCTCGAGGACGAGTTCAAGCTCGCCGCCGAGCACTATGCGCAGCATCGCAAGCATCGCCGGAATGCGCGGCCGCTGTACTTTATCGTTCTCGACGCCGACCGCATTCGAGACTTTTTCATTCAGCACAAGATCAAGAATGGTACGACAACTCCATGTGGCTAGCCGCCATGCATCCGAACCTAGTACCGCTGCTCGGGTACTTTGAGCCCAAGCAGAGCGATATGCAGGACGGCACCGTGCGTCTCAGGTAGCCGTCTCTTGCGTCGACCGTCGACTGACGTGTGGCAGCGCCACGAACACGGTACCCAACGCCGCGAGCATCATCGAGTACTGCAACATCGTGCATGCCACCGACATTCCGCGGCCTGTCTACTTTCGGAGGACGTTTACCATCTCGTCGATTCTGGCGCTCGCGTTCAGCGGGTCGGCGCACTACATGTGCACGCACTTGGCGTCGCTCTTGGAGCTTGTACAGAGCCGACACTTTTGGTTTACCATGTCCATGGTATGCACTGTGCCATGCGATGCATCGAGCCCAAGACGCCGCTCATCGCTCCGCATGTAGGGGGTCTATGCCATCTCCGTCGGCGGGCTCGTCTTCTCGGCGACAACCGCGCTACCGCCGCTCCACCCGGGCGAGCGCATCCCGTGGTTTCACCCGCACTTGCACCAGCAGTACCTCGGCGAGGCTCTCATCGTGATCCTTCTCAACGGCGTGACCGCCTACTGCCTCGTCAAGCTCCTCGAGCACAAGCCGGCGCGGGCAAGTGCGGTTGGAAGCGAGAGCCTCCATAGCCTTGCACCCCTCCTCTCGCTCAAGACGCTGCACCAAACGGCGTCCAATGCATTTCACTTGTCGATTCTTCTCTACACTCTCTCGCTGCTGTGCTGCATCTTTGAGACCAAGTACCCGCACTACTCGGTGTGGGCGACGCTCCCGAGCTTTCTCCAAAGCTGGGTGCAGCTGGCCTACGTAAGTCCTATTTGGGGCTGGTTCTTTCAGCTGCTCGATAAACTCCGCGTCTGGCTCTTACGACCACTCTAAGTCACATCGTCTTCCCACATCCCGTCTTGTCTCGGTCTCTCCATGTCGGTTGATGCAAGGACTATGTACAGCCTGGACGTATTGCTCTTAAAATCGCTGGGGTTCCCATAGTCTGTGCATATGAAACCGATGGCCAGTTTCAGCCTGAGCCATTTTATAAAGTACACCACCTTGGATGCCCCGTGTATCGCCCACGGCCCTCGGACCTGACGACGCGGGCGGCGCACCACTCGTTGCAGGACGTCGCCAGAAGCACGGTGCGCAATGGAGCACGGTGGCAGGCCTCCTGTATGTGCTCATTTCGACAGCAGCCACGATCGGCGGGCTCTTCGCCGTGGCCGACTACCTCGCCAACGACTTTATCTGGTTCCAGTTTGGCTCGACGGCGCTCGCGTTCACGAATGTGATCAACCTCCAGCTGCCACATGTGACCAGCAGAACGACCTTGGACCTCTTCGCGCCGTCGACCGGTCTCTCCAAGCACGACGCGGTCGGTATCAGCGACGCGTACACGCGCTTTCTGCGCTACGAAGCGCTCACGACCCTCCACGATGCAGTGGCGGGATTGCGACATCTGCACCTGCTCCGCGTGGCGACGATGGGCGCGCAGTACTGCTGGGTCGACTGGGACCGACGCTGGGCCATGGCCCACACGGTCGCACGCCAGGAGCGCTGTCGCGACCGCTACGCGACAAATGGTGCCGTGTACCTCGAGTCCATTCTGCGCAATATTGACTTCAACGCGTGGGTCGATGTCACGCAAGGCTTGTTTACGCAACGCATCGGAAACGGCGTCACCGAGTCGTCGGACGATGGCCCCGGCTTTCTAAAGTACCTCGCGACGCACCAGATTCTGGATCTGGACAGCGAAGTCCACATGTGGTCAAACGCTGGTCTGGCTCACTTTGTGATGCAGTACACCAACGCCTACCAGATCGGTCTGTACGACGTCGTTCAGATTGAGAACGCACTCGGTCAAGTCATCGCATTCAAGATCAAAGACATTCCGGTTGCGAGCCGCGGCGTCCGATGGACCACCAACTACATGTACGGCGGGCTCCAGACGGACCTCAATATTCCCAGCGGCAACCAAAGCCTCGTGCAGAACTCTAGCACCTTTGTTGGTGACGTGAGCCCGGGTCTTCTCGAAGCTGTCCTTGTGTGCTGGCCACTGCCCGCCGCTTTTCAAGCCGTGCACAACGACATTGGGCCGCTCGACAACATAGATGTGCTCTGGGTGCCCGTGCCGGGCGCAGTGCTCTCGATAGTGCAGACCTTTCGGTCACTTTTGTTGGCGCATCTTGCATCCGACACAGCTTTGGCGCCGGCGCTCGATGCAATCGGCACGGTGGAGCTTCACCCGACGCCGCTCAAGTGGCAAGATCCAGCACTCCTCTTCTACGGCGGCAACCCCACGTGTGGCTTTGGTGTCGGCCTCGCTTTCGTCCAAGAGTCGTTTGGCTTTGACGATTCGTGTGGCACGCAGAAGGCGCTGACGTACACCTTGTCGCCGCTCGCTAGTCTCTTTGCCTGGACGATGCTCGGTGACGCCAACGCCACCGCTTCCATCTGCGCGCTTATGCCTGCCGCCGAGAGACATGGTTGCGTCACGGCACTGCACACTATCCAGGCCGCCGCATCGCTTGTGCCATCCCTCTCAGAGCTTCGTTTACCGACGTCGTCGCTTCCGCCGCTACAGCTCATGCAGTTTGTCGGCCGGAATGCATCGCCGCCGGTCGTCGAGACGCAGCTTCTGCTCGATCCCTCGTTTGCTTTCTTCGGCTGGGTGAGCGTCTACGAGTGGGTCATGCACACTCGCGAGGTCGTCACCTTTGAAGGCGACGTCGCGTCGTGTACACTCATGACATCGGCTGCGACACACAAGGCCTTGCCTCCGTATGCTCTCCGCTCGAGCTTTGGCACGTATCTCTGGTACTGTTGTGTGGCGGTGACAGTGGTCTTGGTGAGCCTAGCGATGTTGCTGGTATGCCTCTGGATGTGCTATTACCGACCATCGCACACGCCGTGGCTGCAATGGAGCCACGTTGTGAGCGCGACGTGGCTCAATCGAGGGCTCTTGATGGCCCGCGGCGGCGCTGCGCTGCTCTGTTTGTCGTCGGCCGTTCCGCAGTCCGAGGCGACAGCATTCGGCTCGCAGTTTGCGCCGAGACCGCAACGATCACTGGTCGCCACCTGCCTCTTGTCGAGCGAAGCGACTTGGATTCTCTATGTGCTCCACGAGGCGTGTTATCCGCTCACCGCTCCGTATACCTCCAGCTACGCACGCTGGAGCCTTGTGTCTGGGTGGCTTTATCTCCTACTTTTGGACGTCGCTGCGCCAGTGCACGTCTCGGTGACTCTGGAGCGTAGCTGTACGTCTCAAAACATGGACCGCGTGCTGTACTGTACGAGTGGACATATTGTCATCGGTCACCTGGACCGTGTCTACGCCAACCTCGCGGGGCTGGTCGCCGCAGCTTGTAGCAGCTACCTCGTAGCGCGACGTTGGACCTCGTTGAGGGAGGTGGCTGAGCCGCCGTCGCTCTTGCTCAACTCGGCAGCGATTGCCTTTTTGGGCCGAAAGGAGCAAGCCCACGTCAACGTCGTGACCGCGGCCATGGTCGGCGTCCTCCACTTTCCACGCCATCGCATTCTCTTTGACACCAAGCTCTGGGTCTTTGTCCAGACGAATACGGTGCCCGTGTCGCTGCTCGGGCTGCCGTCGACGCCAGGACCCAAGGTCAGCGTGGTTCGGAAAGACCTGCATCGGCTGCCCAACATGGCAACGTCGTCGACGTACTCATTTCTGCAACTACGAGTCAAGCAAATGATACTGCTCTGTGGTATTCTGTACACCATGTTCAGCCTCACTTCCAACGTCGCCTTTCTCACGGTCGCACAGACGTTTTTGGCCAACGACTTTGGCTGGGCGGGCTTCAACAGCACCGGTATGCACGCCTTCTTGGCCAATGCCATCAACCAGCAGCTCCTCATCTCAACCAACACGACGCTCGACTTGAGCAGCCCCGCGCTTGCAGACATCTCGCAGCTCTACAACGACTCGATGTCATCGATTCTCCGGAGTGCTCACGCTCCCCGGCGCCAGCTCATGGACGCCAGCGTGCCTCTGACTCGGTTTGTGCAAGGCCTTCGCGACATGAACCCGTGCATGCTGCCATGGATGTTTACGCAGTACTGCTGGCTCGACTTGGATCGGCAGTGGGCCATGGCCAGCACC